TACGTGAGTAATATCAGCCTTTCATTCTGATGCTGGTAGTACTGGCTTTTCATTGACATAATCTTACCATTTGAACGCACATTCCAGAAATAGGCTAGGATCACTGGAACAGAACGAGGCTAACAAATGTTATCAGAGGATTGGGAAATGTAGTGTATAGGAGTAGGAATGATAACACTGTTCCTCCACATCTGATTGTGATTTGATACTGGACTGAATCTAGAGCCGTTCCACTGTAGCAAATGGATCCAAAGCTGGGAAAAAGTTGTTAACCAAAGTTGATGGTCCTCACATGTGTCCAAAAAAAATTATTTGCAGATAGATATTCACAACTTTGGCATTGTGCCTCTGCCCAAAAAATTTGTTCAAATATTAAAAAATAGTAAATAAGAAAATGTACTTAAATGTAGTCCAGTGTTTATGAATTTTCGGCTGAACTTTGGCAGTTAGCCCTAAATGTGATAAAAGATTCTGCACCGATGTATTTTCCTTTGTTTTTCTTTTCTTATTATTTCTTTGTCTCTATAGACAAAGCTGACAGCATAGCACAGATTTTGAGATATGGCTGATGCATTCTTCTAAGCTAAAGTATGTTGTTAGCTCTTGTGCTAATGATTGTAGCAGAATCCCAGCCTCCTTCCACAAAATATTTGTGGGAAGAGAGGTTACCACTGATCATCGTATTGGACTTTGGATCTTCCTTTGGGTCCTTCAGCAGCGAGATTCAGCCAGTGCCTTGCATGTAACATCTGTTGTCAAGTTGGAAAGTCTTGCTGTCCCCATTTTACAGATGCACTTTTGAGAGACAGGAGGAATGAAGCCAAATGCTTCAAAGATACTTAATGGAGGTTAAGTGCTGAGCTTCCTTTGAAGGTCTAAACCCAAACGACATGCTTGTGATCATGCAAGAGATTTGTATCACCCGTGGGAACAGGACCATTTTTTTAGGGTAGTGTCATAACCACTCCCCAGTCTTTCCTCTTTCTTCTTCCTAAAGCTCCCACTGACTTCAAAGGTGAAGAATTATGGCCTGTATCCCACAGCACTGTGAGCTTGGATGTGTGTGCAGAGCTTTACCCACACATATATTCCATCAGGGATACTGACTCAAGTAAAATTACACAGGCAGTGTGGAGGGGAAGAAATTTCTACAAGGCTGGAACTTAACTTTTTTTTTTTTTTTTGTACTTGTATTCTCTTCCTTTAACCTCAAAAGCTTAACTAAGAAATGCAGGTTGTACCTAATGACCGAGTTTGGGGTCTGTCTATACTATCCATAGGAGAGTCATAACCCAAAGCAAATACAGAAAAAAGGAAGAGTTGTAGCTTATTCAGTCAAACAAAATATTCTTTCTTTTGAACACCTCTGGACAGAAAGAATGTATTTATCTCTTGCCATGTGTCTTGAACAACAAAGTGAGCGTGCCCCAGGTGATGGGTAGCCCTGTGTTTTTCTGCTACTGTCCTAGATGAACAGCAACATTAGAAGTTAGGATTTTTCAACAGTCACATCATCCACCTGTTACAGATTTAAATACTAGTAGTAGTATTCAGCTTTTACCAGAAGGTCAGTCCCTCACCCGTTGGCACAACAAATGTCTCTTCCATTCACTCTAGGTTTAAAACAACACATACCTATCATTAAAATGGTAAAATCATTTTTTACATTGGATGGAAACACAAGTATTTGATACAGTTGAAGAGGGAAGGTGCAGCCCTCTGGTACTTCCTTTAACCCATCCTTTTAAAACAAATGTTATTTTTTTAAAAAATTCAAACCCTTAAATGCTGGCTACAGTTAACAGCATCCTAATTGCATGTGACTATGTCTTGACTTCCTGATCCCTGTCTGGTGGTTAAGAATCCAAAGGGCTTCTTAAACAAGCAGGAGCAGCTGCCTCTGTGAAGCCAGGCATGGTGTATGTCACCAACTGTGGAAAGGAACTGCGATATGGGGAGGAGTGGAGGTGATTAATGGGGCCAGTGTCATAGCTCAGAGTGTGGTTGCACTACTGTGTACGGGCATGCTTCCTTCAACCATTTATCTTCTGTCCTCTGCCACACACACACAGAAACATACGTGCACGGTTTATTTTTCCATTGACGGAGCAGTCATTACAAATACAGGAATGCACAAGGTGCTGAGGATCTGTAGCTGGTGATGTGCCTCTGGAGGTGATGCCTGCCTTTGTCTTGCTCTTTGGACAAGCATGAGAAATGCTGACAAAACCCAGTCCTTGGTTTTAAATTTATCTCTGCCACTGGCAAACTTTTTCCCACAAAAGAGAAAGAAAGAAGGGAAGAGAAGAAAAAAGGCAAGGAAATCACTCCATTCTGTGGACTGTATTTTAGTCTGGATAAAGAGGAGGAACAAACTGTGGGTTGAATTGCACAGCGATGGAGTTGCACAAGCCAAAGGAAGGTGCATTCTTACTTGGCAAAGACCCACTCTGTCAAGGTCTGAACGAGACTTCTGTCCTTGGGCTATCAAGACCTCCAGCGTCAGAGCTTTCCCCTGATTGGAGTGGGGTGCGCAAAGCCATTCGATGCCCCAGTGTTGCTGCTCCTGCTTTTGTAAGGGCAGGTTATCCTCGCAGGCAATGCTGTACCTTGCTTTCCCCAAAGCATCACAGGGGATTCAAGTCCCATCAGTTCCCAACCTTCACAGAATCACAGAATGGTTTGGGTTGGAAGGGACCTTAAAGACCATCCAGTTCCAACCCCCCTGCCATGGGCAGGGACACCTTCCACTAGACCAGGTTGCTCAAAGCCTCGTCCAGCCTGGCCTTCACCTCCTTCAGCCAAAAGCAGGGAAGAAGAGACTTTTCTTATGTGTGTGTTGAGCCTTCAGATGTTCCCTAAAAACTTCACCTTCCATTTCTGTCTCTGAAGGCTCCCCTGACTCCTGGCTTGTGAGATCTGTGTGGACCAACTGATTTACAGCTTTGCTTTGCAGAGGTCACTGACATGGCTACTTGTTCCTCAGACCATTCCTACAATAAAAATCTATCCCTGCCTTTCACCAGGAATTGAAGCCACTGCATCCTTTGCTGCAGTTTACCCCTCTGACGCTGTCAGGCTGCTCCTGCATCCCTTGGAGCCAAACACACGTTCTTCCCAGACACAGAGGCAGTTTCCCTGTGTATTAACAGGAAACTGGTGTCTCAATAGGTCTGGCTTAATGGGATTTATTATTTGCTGGGTGCTGACAAAGGGCTAAACTGAGAACAAGGTGCAGAGTCCTTACATGCTCTGAGGAGCGCGCAAGATACTCTGGAGAAGCTGAGCCATGCTAGAAAGCCTGAAGGAAGGAATGATTCAGGGTAATGCAACTGAACCCTTAAGGAAGGGCCTGCTGTGAGAAGTACGGTGATTTGGCAAAGCAGGTTGGGAAGTCCTTTGGGAAATCAAAGGTCCACCTGGACCAACAGGTTGTTCTCAGCAGCAGTGTTAACTCCAGCCATACAGCATTCCCCAGCTCAGGTGGTGTGCTGCCTATTTTCTCACCAGCTGGGTACAGCCTTTGATGGGAATCCAGAGCAGGGCCAGGACTTGTCCTTTTGCATAGTGCACGGTGAGAAATCTCTGCTGCTTGGTCCCCTACACGTTAGGAGGGCTGTAGCTGCGATGAAAAAGCTTTAAGGAGAGCCACTGGGAAGGCAGAAATTAGTGCTTTCCCTAAGACCTGCTGAATGCCTATGGAGAGGCTGTGTGAGTGACGAGGGTGGGAAGAGTGAAAGATTCTTGTGATAAAATCATGTGGCCAAGCAGGAGGCTAAGAGGTGGGCTGAAAAACAAAGACTAAAGGCAAGTGTTAGAAAATGAGTACAGGAATTTGGTATGGTAGAAAACCAGAGAAAGAATTAAACCAAGTAACAGAGTCCTTCCATCAAGTATTTCAGCACAGTGAGTGAGGGATGTTCCCCTTACGGGCTGCACATGCAATACCCTTACCACTGACTCAGATTAACACTGGAAATCCTGGCAGCTTTACATGTACTCGGGGACTCAGAAATCCAAACCTGGGTTTTGCAGCTTAAGCTGCTTTCCTGTGGTGAGGCACAGAAAATCGCTGGAAGGAAGGTGCCTGGGTCCTGTTAGCAGTTGTCAAACACTGCCCACCTACAACACTTCGCGCTGCAGGGCCCGTGGGCTCCCAACTCTCATGGTAGACCCTGGACCCTCACCCTGTCAAAAACTGTTACCTGTCCTAATAATCAGAGACTTCTGGCTTCTCTGTCCATTGTAGCTTGGGTCTTGGCTCATTCCTGGGTCTGCTGCCCTGACTAAAACAGTCCTTGGGGTTTCAACCTTCCCTCCATGCCTATGAAATTCTCTCCTCACAAAAGCAGGGACTGAAGGAACAGTTCTTGTGGAAATCCCTTCCTTGGAAACATCAGGAACGTTCCAGGGATTTATGTATTGCAATGTACGGTCTTCTGTAGCGAGATATAATAGCAGCTAAAGCTGCAAGAAAGATGAGGGAGTTTACCTTGTTTACATATTTCTGTTTGGGTTTGCTACCCTTTCCTGCTTTTGTAACTGATACGTTATTGAAAAGGGGCATATACAATCCAAATTTTGGAGTTCTTACTCAATTTCACAGTGACCTTGGCTGAGAATAGGTCTTGTTCTGGTATGAAATAGCCAATGAACTGTATTGAACAAGCAGAGAGTAAAGGTCTTGGTAACTCACCCAAATGTAGCACCTAAAACTGCATTCTGCTGAAGTAACAGAGAAAAGTCGTAACGAACTTAACTCTCATTTAATAAAATACTAGTTTCACTTTAAGGGGAAAAAAAAAAAAGTGCTGGTTGGTGATTCGCTTTTCCTTTGTGGTTCCCAGCAGCCTCAGAGGCTCTTTTCCTCTAGCGTGGTGGGGTTTCCTTGTATGGCAGTGATGCTCAGGTGGTTCAAATAAGGCCACATTAAAACAGCCAGTGTTTGGGGCATTGCTTAACCATCTCCACCTGAGCTACAGTTTCTCTCTCCATTTCAGGTCCCCAACTTCATCAACACCACGCTCCCACCCCACGAGCAGGTGACGGCTCAGGAGATAGACAGCTACTTCAGGCAGGAGCTCATCTACAAGAGGAACGAGAGGATGGGGAAGAGAGTGATGGCGCTTTTAAGGGAGAACACAGACAAGAGCTTCTTCTTTGCCTTTGGAGCAGGTATGGCATACGTTTTTCTGGTTTACTTCGTTATCGTGATTGGAAGTAAAGTGGTTTGAATCCTTCAGGAGTTTGTCTTTGGTCCTGTGGGAAGGTTCCTTAGGGGACTTCCCTTTGAAGGAGAAAGGCTTTTGTTTGTACCTGCTTCTAAAATGGAGTTGAGTTGGTGTAAGAAGTGGGTCTGGGTCCAGCTGGGCTGTGGACAGGCTGCACCCTTCTACCTTCTGTCTGACTATAGAAACATGAAGTTGTTAATGCTTTTCATGTGGTTGTTTTTGTGCCTTTTCCAGCCCAACTTGTGGGTTTCTGGAGTTATATTTGTACCCTGGTTGTGTTTGTGGCCACAGTTGTAAGAGATGGTTGAAGTAGAGCCTGTAGTGATAGGACAAGGGGTAATGGGTATAAATTGAAATCAGGGAGGTTTAGATTAGATGTCAGGAAGAAATTCTTCACAGAGAGGGTGGTGAGGCACTGGAACAGGTTGCCCAGATGTTGTGGATGCCCCATCCCTGGAAGTGTTCAAGGCCAGGCTGGATGAGGCTTTGAGCAACCTGGTCTAGTGGAAGGGGTCCCTGCCCATGGCAGGGGGGTTGGAACTAGATGATCTTTAAGGTCCCTTCCAACCCTAACCATTCTGTGATTCGATGATTCTAAGTCTCTTTGAGTTTGTAAGCCCAGGGAGTGACAGCAGTGACAAACCATGCCGTGGCATAGGCACCTGCGTGTGGCTCAGGGTGTTTCAGATGTTTTGGGGTTGCTGTAGTTTGTCTTGATGGGTGGCTTAAATACTTTGGTGGTGTGTCTGTACGGGCTGGCTGCTTTGGGACCCTGCACAGGTGCGTGAGTGATGTGTGTAACTAAATACCAGTGGTTTAAATTATTAAGTAAAAAGCCAATATGTCCCTCTGCCTGTTTTAATTCTGTCCATGAACAAAGATGTCTATAGTACTTCTGTGAGTCTGTGACAGTGTGTGCTACTTCCTTTTTCTCCCACCTCTTTTTTTTTTTCCTGCTTTCCAATGGAATTCACATTTCTGTGTGATAAAAGTATAAATAATAACTGCTAAGCAGAATCCTGAGCACCAGCTTAAGTGGCTCTTCAAGCTCTCCGGACTTCAAGGAAGCCCGAGATTGTCATGCTGAGAACCGGTCTGCTCCTCCGGCTCCCTCTCCTTAACAATCCCTCATTCTTGACAGAACTTTGTGTCTCATCCCATGGCTCTCGCTCTGAACTTTGGCAGCAACTTGCCTTTCGCTACTCTTTTTGGTGGGAATTTTGATTAAAGACTGCAGGGTTTAGCAGAGAGACACACGTTTTGATGTATTTATTTTTTGAGTATATCCAGGCTGAATTTTCCCAAGCTTATTTAATCTCAGGCTTGCCTGGTATTTCTGTCTGAGGAGTTTTCCCCAACTCTCTTTACAGCAGAAAAATTTTTCATGGTGGTTCATAATTGGACAGGGATTCATAAACAACAGCTTGCCTGACCCATAGGGCAAGGTTTATCAGAGATTATCGAACATCACGGTTTGATGTAGTCTCCAGTTAAGTCCCTTAACTAGTATATACTGGAGCTGGGAGGATAAACTGGGCATCATTGCCTACTTGCCCTGCTCTGTACACGCTTTTCCTGGGTATCGGTTACAGACCACAGCTTGAGACAGAATCCTGGACTAAGATGGGTCATGGATCCAACCCACTGCAGCTATTTGTATGTGCTAATAACAGAAATTAAATTAAGCAAATGCATGCTAATTACACATTGCTTTCCCTATAAAGCTGCACCTAAGCTGTGGGTGGTTTGAGCTTTCATTCCCTGTCCCTGTTGGAGAGCATCTACCTGAAACTCCCGTGCAGCATCACTTGGGAAAGCTGGCTCATAAAGAGCAAGTCTCACTTTGTCCTTCACTCTGTGTTTGATGATGCTGAAAACAGCCTTTGTTGCTGGGTTGTTTTCCTTCCCCAGCGCTGACTGTAGCAGCACAGAACAGACACATGCAACAGGATTTATTGAAAACCAGGGCTCGGGAGACTCCGAGGAAAGCTTTTTGTTTTGGGCTCTTTGTTCCAGCATCCCTTTGGCCTTTGTCACTAAAGCGGGCCATCCCCGCAGGCGATCCCTACTTTAAGTACAATTAATTCCTCCTCTCTTCTCTGGGGTGTTTTTTTTCTTTGTGCAGTAAGTACTGAGAAAATTACTAATTTTTCAATGCCAAAACTTTTATGTGGTCGAAGTGCAAGCGAGTTCATTTTCTCTTATGATTCAAATGCAGTTTTTCTCCTGAAGGTTTTTCTTGGTGGTTGTTTTGTTGGTTTTGAGGTTTTTTTTCACGCACTGAATTATAAGAGTGGCTTTTATTGATACATTTTGTATTTTGCATTCTTACACCTAGCTCTTGAATTGTAAGGTGTTTTTCTGGTATGTGCTTGGGTCATGAATTCAAATTGCTTTCTAAAACCTAGAGGGTTTTGGTTTGCTTCTTATAAAAGTGAAGGGTGTTTTTGATGAAAGTTGAGGCTTTCACATATTCCTATGAATTCTGAAGTGCAAAATATTAGGAATGCACCTTTGGTTAGGATGGGTATGATGGTCTGCAGGAGTGCATTTTCTTTCAGAACAGTACAAAAGTTCACTTAAGATTCTGCATATTTATGACTAACATAATGGTGGAGAAATCCTTTGGAAAAAATATTCTGGATAATGTATTCCAAAAGGTATTGGGTTCATGTAATTCTGATCTCTGCAGTAACCCATCTGTTTTGAAGATAATGGAACTAATAAAAGAATAATAATTTAATTATATATGTACATTATGAATTGGCTTCCAAATTCCATAATCTCTGTTTCTGGGAGGAATTGGATAAGACTGTGCTGACAAATAAAATCAGGTAAATAAGTATTTTCCTAAATAAAAAAAAGAAGCCTGTTATGAGAAAAGCACCTTGGACAAACTTCACCAAACATAATGTTATAGAGCAGCCCTGCTCTAGGAAGGATTCCCAAGCCCTGCAAGATGATTCATTTGGACTCTCTGACATCCTGTAATTTGCAGGCGTAACTGGCGTAATTTAGTTGCCTGCACAACTCTGCATATTTATGGCCTGTTTATTAGTTATTCTATACATAGAATTTCTACCTTCTTGTGCTGGTTTTAGCTAGGATACAGTTAATTTTCCTCACAATAGCCAGTATGAGGCTGTTATCAATGTTGTTTTCAGCACAAATCCAAAACATACTGATGTTTTTAGGTGTTGCCAAGCAATGTTTATATTAAGTCAGTGACTACTTCAGTTTCTGATGCTGCCTCTGTGTTCCCAGCTTCTTCTCTACAAGAAACTGGGAGAGCACACAGACTGGACAGCTGACCCAAACTGAGCAAAGGGACGTTTCATGACAGCAAATGTCATGCTTGGTATATAAGCTGGGGGAGTTGCCTGGGGGGGGCAGTTGCTGCTCGGGGACTGGTTGGGTGTTGCTCGCTGGTGGTGAGTGGTTGTAAATTCCACCCCTCTCCCCTCCCCCCCTCATGACATATTATCATCAGTAGAATTAGTATTTGATTATGTAATTATGTAATATGATTTTTTCATTTATTTTCCAATTATTAAACTGTTCTTATCTTGCCACAAGTTCTCTTACCTTGTGGCTCTGTGGTGCTTAGTTGCTAACTGGGGCTAAACCATGGCACTTATTCATCCTGCCTTGCTTTTAAATGAAGGCTCGTCAAATTCTTTCCACTGATTAGGTTTTTTTGGTAGAAAATTGGGCATTTAGGGAAAACAGAATTTCTGTTTGCTTCTGAAAAAGCAAGTCTGCTTCTAACAGACGTCAGTCAAAATCCCAAATGCTTGGCTGTCATTGTTCTCCTCTGTAAACTGGGGTTCCCTGTTAAACTGTGTTGCTCTCTGCCATTTAGAGCTGAGCTGCAAAGATGTGTGTTGTAGGAGAGGTGGTTCAGTGTCTGGTCTGTAACTGAGCATGAGGCTGTGAAATATCGAGCAGACAACTCCCGAAGATGGAGTGGTAAGGGGACCGGCAATTGAATACCCGTGCAAGCTGAGACAAAACAGGTTTTACATCCATGAAGTGAAGCAAAGCATTCTTATGCTGTTGAAAGATACTTTTTTTTTTTTATTGTTGTTCCAGTCAGAAGTATTAAAACAAAAGCATTACACAATTCTAAACAGATCTCTTCAGTTTTCTGCCATTTTTAAAAATAAAAAGTAGACTTTCCAGTAGATTTCCCCGTTCTCTGCCTTCCATTGCATTACTCACAATTTAAATGCAGTGGAGCCATTCAGACTTTTAATTTGTTCCTTTATAAAACATGTAGAAGTGAACATAGCCATTTATTCTTTCTACTTTCATTTCTTTCTCTGCTCCAAGAAAAATACAGGCTCTGGTAAAACGGGACCCAGCTCTGTACGCTTCATTCTTCTCCTGCCAGGGTTTACCGTATTCAGACTTAATGTGAAAATCTCACTGTACCCATATTCACAGTAACTATACTCTAGTAATGAAACAGCATTTATTGTTTGTGCAGTTAAATGATACTTTTCAGGTAACGGGCACGGCAGTTTTTCCGTTTGAATGAATAAAGGTAGCTAAATAGACTACTTTCAAGTAAAATATGTGCGTTTGCTTGGTTTTTGTTTTGAAAATCCATCCTGGATTGCTAGGAATTATTGATCCATAGTAACAGTGAAGCACCTTAGACCTGATATATACAGGCAATTTATAAAGGTCCATTTACAATCAAGAGAGACACAGCCGGAGCACATGGGCTGTTAAAAAGAGTTAATATTTTGGCAACTAAGGATAAGCACATGAAGTCAATGTTTAAGAAAAAAAGTCTCTCTGGTTTATTTCATTTTTATGGGCAAATAATTTTTGAGTAACACTTATGATAACAGATGGATAAATTTATGTCTGCAGTTAATTTGAACAATAATTTCCTTAGGATGTTTTACTTACTTGCACTTCTTTCTTTCTTTTATG